GCCCAACCAGATAGCTGAGGTCCGTACAACTCGGGTTGGGTAAGTTAAGGGTTAGGTGGTACCGTATATCCACATTGGGGTCTAGGCTATTGACAAATTTATATTATATATATATATATATATATACATATATATAAATACTTTTGATTGGATCCAATCTGTAGCCATAGAATGATGCATTTCACATCACCGGAATCACGACAAGAAAGTAAGCAATGCCAAAGTGGACAAACTTTCTCTTCCACCTGAAGAAGTCCAAAAGGCAACACCCCAGGCTCAGAATGATGGGATCGTGTATGCTGTACTCAACCAAAGGAACAAAACTCATCCAGTCTGGAATTATGAATATTCATCCTCACTCCCAAACTAAGAGGGCAAGGAGTATTCTGCTTGCCCCTGGAATTATAGAGGACGTGGAACCTGTGCTCAACCAAGGACCTAGGATGGGACCATTTCGCATTCGGAATTATGAGGAGATAGTAGAAATGAAACCAACATTGATCAAAAAGAAGGGCCATGCACCCCCAAACTGGATAACTTCGTGCCAAATCTGAACCAGAATTACGAGTAGGCTCCCGTGGAGGCTGGTGCCACTCCTACTGACATCTGGGGAAATCATCCAGGGCCCCCAACTTCACCCTCTTCTCCAGAGTGGAGGAACACACTCTGAAGCCTCTGTCCGTCACCCCAGCGACTGGAAACTGGGGGGTGGTAAGGACTCCCAAGCTCCACTAGTAGTCTGGGGGTTAATACGCATTGGGAAGTCCTGAAGTACAGTGCTCTGGAAACTGTGCAATAGGTGAACCAAGTTCCCTACATTTTAAAAAGCAAACCGATCTTAATTTATTCAACCTGAAAATCAGCAGGGACAGGCAGGACTTTAGCTTTACTCATGATAGTCCATAATAATAAGGTCATACCATCCGGTAGGTGCCTAGATGGTCTTATGGAACACCCCATTTTGAACAGAGCCTGCTGCAACCTGTAGTAATTATAGTGAAAGTAGTTGGTAGTGCAGAACTGAAAAGAGAAAGTCTACCTACCCGGGCAACACTCGCCATACAGAGGGATCCAATAAAAAATTAAGGAATCCAGGAAATAAAAGAATATATGATTGAGGAAAATACCTTTGGTTAAATGCTAACAGATGTGGTCAAAATAGCTACAGGGGGTAGTCGAAAACCCTCAGAAAAGAAAACTGCCAGATTATATAAGTACTGAGATAGGAAAATATTAGGAGTAATCCACATATCAGCCTACACAATATCTTCCAGATGGTAATTCAACCTGGCAGCTAATGACAGAGAAATGACGAATCTGGTGAGATGTGACACAAATGATTCTTCTCCTGTAATGCTAACCCATTATAGGTCATGTGAATCAATTTGCAAAGCCACCTTGTTAAGGTAATAGGTTATGGAAAATAGAAGGATGCGAAAAATGAACAAGCGATTCCTAGTACCTCGAAATGAGTTAGTACGAGTCAAATAACACTTGAGGGCCCCGACAGGACATAACAAACAATAAAGATCAAAGTGGTCATAAAGGTGAGAAATGGCTGGCAAATGAATTGGTGATAAAATATCTCTTCTCTTACCTGGTTGGCAGAGTCTTGGGAAAAAAAGATCTATTAAGGTAAAGCAGGACAAATGTGGAATGATAAAGAGTCCAATGCACATGGATTGCAAACAACAACAAAACTACAATTTAAGATAAGGGTGAAGCAAAGAATATAAAGCTAAGGGCTCAAAGAGAAGATGAGACAATGCATGTAAAACAACTGTAAAATCCCAATTCAGTAATTAAGAAGGTCATTTAGGCTGAAAAATACAAAAGGATCTGAGTAGACGTGACAGTACTAGGGATTCAAAAACTTCCAATATTTGGAACACTAAAAAATGTGGATAAGTATGTCTTATATAAAGCCACCATAGATGAAGCAAACACCTGGGTGAAGAATGTTTGATTGAGGTTGTCTCAACAGAGACTGTCAAAGTGGAAGAGGTAGAGGTGGACATTCCTACAGCTGCTGAAGAAGTGGAAACCACGTTTGAGCTGGTCAATATAGTGCAACCAAGAGAACTTGACAGGGAGTGGAACGAACCATAGTCAGAACCCAGGAGCAATAGCGAATCAGGAAAGACATACAGATGTAAACCTGTCCAGTCCTGACTGAACGCATCTACTGGCAATGCTTGAGGATGAGGTATCAGAGACCAAACAACTGCAGTTGAGAATTCCAATGGGATTGACCCTTTCTACTGTCCTTGTGACTAACAACTCTCTTATTGCATGGGAATGACACTTACTAGCCGTGGATCTGTTGGAGGTGAAAAGGTAACAAGTTGTGCAGATAATGGTGGATGTGACATATATTGAATGACCAAACCTTAAGCCAGAACATGAAGTACCCATGGATTCTCTGGTGAAAGTACTACAGATGTCCAGAAAGTGAGGTAATCATGCACCAACTGCTCCCCTGCCCATGGGATAGTCACCAATGCCATTGTCGTTGGTCCACCCAAGCTGAAGATCCTTGAAAATACAGATGGACTTTATTATGGGAACCAATAAACCTGGGAACCGAAGAAGAGGATCAGGAAACACTATGAGCTGACACTCCCAATTAGCACCAGAAGGGCAAAAAGTCAACGATCATAAAGAAAAATTTATATGTAAATTCATGATTCTAACATCTCAGAAACTCAGGCAAACAACAAGAGATGGAAAAAAAAAAGGAGCTTCCAGTAGCTCCCTGAGGGCAGAAAACGGTAAACAAACACTTTATAAAAAGTGTCACTACCCAATAAATTCTAACCAACCAACCAACCAAAAAACCAACAGAAGAAAACAATCTGTCTGAGGAAGACATCGGCAAAATCTCAATTCATCCTCAAATTGCTGAAGGGAATGTTGATAGGCTTCAAACAAAAGTTAGATCGAAGATAAATACCTCAGGACAGTTGTGAGAGTAAGAAGAATCAGAGAAAACTGTGAACTGTTTAAAGTGATCACAGATTCCAATCTAAATCCCCACAGGTCCAAAAAGAGCTCCATCCATTGAGAATCTAAATATACCTCCTCCTGGTGGTGATAAGCCAAAGTATGTTTTCCCGATAAACTTGGGGGAGAAGGCATAGCTATCCCATCATGAAACTGAGTGGCAAATCTCCCATCATGATCAGCAATATCAGGAAGAGGAGGAAAAACCAAGTAAACACTTCCCATCCTTTCTGCCAACAAAGAAAGAATAAAGTCAAGTGCAATAGGAGAGACCCCCAAAACCTCACAAACTTGAGTAACCAAATGAAGGAAAAGAGGCTGTAGGTGGCTGATCAAAATGATCCTCTGTTGAGGCCAACCTAGTAGAAGAATGAGCCAGAAAAAACAAGTCTAAATTTTCCCTAACTGGTCCCGGGTCATTTGTAAAAGCCACCTCAGAACCCTCCGAAGATACACCTTCAGTTCGCATATATGTCTCCATATCGCAACGGATCATATCACGGACAACTTCAACTGAGGGTGACCCCTCCCCCCTGGCTGTTGACAAACATCAGATAGCAGAGGTGAAAGAGAAAAGGTCTGGTAGGCCTCCATAGTAGAAACATTAACTTCAGAATTCATACCAGTCGGTACAGTTTTTTTTTGTCAATATAATTTATAAATATAAATGATAAGATAACAGTAGAAATGCCAACCACGTCCAAATTCACAACAAAAATTGTGAATAATCACAATACTCCTGTTTATAGAAATCAGAGATTACATTATCTGAATAAGGTGCATATATACAGTACCTAGATAGAGGGCACATTGAAGTTGAAAATTTTGCAAATTAGAATTTGCCAAGAGCAATCGAGTGGGGTATGAAAGACTGAAGCAAGCATTTTCCATGCTTAAATTGGCAAAGAGTGGAACCCCACAGATCAAGAAATAGCTATAGTGTCAGCAGAGGTAAGCATGTTTTGGAAATGCAAAGATATAATTTACTTGTTATCTTGTGGTATGCATCTAGTAATATTTTCACACAGAAGCACTGGACGTAGATAAATTAAAATGTCATTACAAATTCAGCTAGTGAGTGTTCCAATTAACAATAAAAGTATATCTAAGTGTCAGCTTTATGGGTGGACCCCATGGGTACTGCAAAAGCTTCATATATCTATTAAAGAAAAATAATAGAACTATTCCACAAGGTCTTTTTATAACTAGAGGTATTAATATGAATAAACTGTTGCTAATTATTTAACAGAAAAACCTTCATTTACATATTACATACAATACATAAGATCATCAGGAGTAATTTTAATATTTCTTGTCAGATTGGATGCAACAGCCAGAGCAAAAAATTTATAAATATAAAACTTTTATAACAACTTACTCCCTTATAACACATTTTTTTCTCTACTAATTTTTCAATACTCATCATAAACTGTGTAGAATTTTTAAGAGGGTAATGAAACAATAATGTTCCAAAAACTATTCAAGTTATTTAATTTTCATCTCTTTTTATCTCATCTACTATTTACGTGAAACAGATAAGGTTTTAGTATTTAACATTAAAATGATTGAAAAAGAAAGCAAAACAATATCAAGGACTGACAAGTTTAAAACCAAGCTAAAAATAAGCAAAAAAAAATTACACTATAATTTAGACTTATTTCTCATAATCTTCTTCGACAATCGATTATGGATTCCTAATTAGAAGTGTGTGAAATTAGCGTCAAAGGTCTTTCTTTTGTCTGCTACAAGTATAATCTAAATTTGCACAATACCGAGAAAATAGTTTCACACACATATGGTATCCATATTTGCTTCTTACTTTAATTCTCCATGTGATAAGTTTTGTTGTTTTTTCACCTCATCTGTTGTTTGCACAGAAACATACAAGGTTTTAGGATGTATACTTTGATATTTTACACCACTGCTAGAACTAATATATAATGAAAATATGGATAAAAAATACACACACACAGAGAATGAAAACTTACTACTGTTTGCTGGAATCGGAGAATCACGAGCGGGATAACAGTTCATATCAATCTGTACTCCATCTAACATTATAAACAAAGTACTAGAACTTCGACTAGTTTTTCCACTGACCTTGAGATCTAATGTCAGAGTCACATGGTCCACTGTATCAAGCAGAAATGTCATTTCAATTTTTTGAGACGATATAAATGCCACATTTTACAATAAGCTCAATACTTATCTATAATTTAGATATATACTTTAATCAACAAGTCTTAAACAACAGTTGTCTTCTAAATATTAAAACAACAATGATACTCTGCATCAATCTTATTCTCATACTTAATAATGAATGTTTAATTTTCATCTCTTTTCATGGAGTGAGTTAGTTTTTGCTTCTTTATTAATATTACTTTGTTTTATGAAGCAGGTCAACTTGTATCGGAATATTTCATTTTATGTTTTTTTTATAACTGGTGTTATTAATTTTAGTGATATATCACTTTTTGGGATGCAACGTTTAAAATTAAAATTTCTTTGTCAAAGAATACTATCATCTGATCCTTTACAAATCCAATACATTTCTATAGTTTTGTTTAAAACTAATAATGAGTCGTCATGGTTTTGAATCTTTCTCCCTTCTTTGCTGCCAACTTGAAGCTTCTTTCTTGCACATGTATATGCTGAGGCAAAAGTCATTATCAGCTCAAGAACAAATTTCAATATGAAAACTTAAATTCAGAAAAAAAATTATTATGGCCATCTGTGGAATCCTGTATTAATTCATGTTGCGTGTTTGTGAATTTGTTTTTCTATGAACTCCTCTTACAAGTTTGGAGCTAGCAGGACAAAACATAGCAGTTTGACTTGGAGTGGACCAGCAGGTGTCCTTATTTATATGACACAGTTCCCCTACCTTATTTATTTGGGGAACCAAGGAAGGCTAAAATGCAACTGAAAGGTCACAAAGTATGATGAGTCTAGGAGTAGGTTTGCAGGGTCACTAAGCTTAAATCTGGCCTCGGTCACCTTCATAATCCCAGGATTGCCATTTCTGGAACTGTGTTCATATTATCATTCAAGCTAGAGAGACCAAATCTGGCACAAATGCTCAGATACTATAGGCAGGTACCCTAACAAGAGATTCTTCAAGTATGCATCCCCATCCTTGGGGTAGCTATAGAAGTAACTGAGAATAATGAAGGAGCTTGATCAAAACACCGAGGCTTCTGTGAATCACGAGGAGGCCTTTGAACCCTACAGCAGAGCAAGAGTATATTTACAAAATTTCCTAATTAACAGTTCCTGAAAAATAAAGAAATGTGGTAGACATTACTGGAAAGAATAGCAAAGTTTATGGAAAATTTATGAACAGTAAACAGTAATTACTCTATCTTGCTATTGAGTAAGAAGATTCTGTTATTGTTGGTTGCAGAAGTTCTGATATGTTGCTAATAGATATTACTCAGGTATCTATTAAATAAAACCCAGAGATACTGCACAACATCACCTTGAATAGATAGTCTTGTTGCTTTGTTTCTTTTTCTAATTCCTGCTTCTTCAAGCTTGATAAGTATTCAGGCTTATTTAAGTAACTGTTGTTAAGACACGGTTAAAACCAAAGAGCTTTTGGAGAAACATCCTGAAAATTCCTGGGTTACCGTGATCTGTTAACAACTTCCAACCCATGTCATTTTCATGTATCGTGAATGTTAAGACAGTTCCATGCTCTAAGTGCTGTTCATCATATATTACATCAATTAAGAAAAAACAAAAAATTTTATATCTATTCGCATATAATTTGCTTGAACATCTTATGTACAAGTCTCTTTGTAGTGTTGGAAAACAATCATGCTTTTTTTTAATACACAGATTTAACAAAAAAGTCACTCCTTTAGTTAAAAATTTAAATCATGATCATAGTTCTTGTATTTTATCAGAGTGCAAAATGAACTAGATGTAGATCAATCTATATTTGGATTTCAGAAATTGAGAGCATTAATATCAAATCAAGGTTGCAATGGCACATCATGGTTTATTTGTTATCTAAGCCTAGATAGTACTGGGATTGCAAGAATCCACAGAATTACACTATTGGAAGCTGCACATCCACTGCAGTATCGATACTAAACATACAGCTTTATACAACTTAGATCTCCAGTTTTCAAGTTTCAGTCGATACAGCTATAACCTATACCTAGATTTTCTGATTGACATTATAATACCTGCATTGTTTTATTGCTATTAGTGTTAGGATATGTCTAGGCCTATACACAGTATAACACAATTAATACTACTAATAATAATAATGTATATGTGTATTATATCATTGTAGAGACTAAGCTAGGTTTGAAAGCAACATGCACAACCTACTGACTACATACACTAATAAACAAAGCATATATATGCTGTTTCAATATAAGTTATAAGTAGGTCCCACATGACTTTAATAACACTAGCAATGGCCAAGGTAGGCTACTTAACACAGTACAGAATTTCAATAACATTAATTTTCTATACACGTGAATTCAAATCCATGTCAAATAATGGTTTGTTTGGCAGTAGAAATCAACCAAATGATCGACAAATTAATAGCTATTTTAATCACAAGAAACCCTGCAATTGCAATAGTTTCATGCTACAAAATCATTAACTCGTAGTAAAAAAAATACAAAACGTTGGTTTACATTCCGAGTATATTCCTCTTTATACTAGCCATAAATGACAATGTTATTTTATCCAATACAAGAAGCATTTGTCAACAGGAATTCATTATTTTCATGCTTTGTTTATATAGTGACTTCAAAATTAAAACATTTTATCAAAACCAATAAAAAAGCTATTAATCATCCTGTGATTGTCTTCACCAGCAATAATAATTCAATATAAGAGAAAGCAGTTTTTAATGAGCATTAAATCTATGTACCTTACACCATGGACAACTGGGATGTACCAAAATTAGGGGAATCCCTGTTTCTCTTGTATGTATAATAGCAGCACATGGTTTGGCACTTTTTTTTTCATACATGTTATCAACATTATTTTATTTCTACATAAAGTTACTGCTTAATCAATTAGCTTACATCATGTCACATTACCCATGATCCTTTCTTATCCATTTTAGAACTTAAAGCCACCTGAATGTCATTTGATTCATAATATGGCAAATATGTAAAACCCAGTACACCAAAAATGCAGTGTTCAAATACAGTACAACATCTAACATCCCAACATGACCAACACACCACAACCAACACTTATTATTAATCAGAAACTCCAGAAGAATATTTTAGTTTTACAGCTTTACAGAAGAATCAGAGTCAATTTGGGTTATATAGACTAAAAGACCAGAATCACTGCACTCTTCATATCATAACTACAGATTAGATGTTATAGCAGGTTAATAGTTGATAGTAAGACTATAGATCAGACTCAGTGCACTCTGCATACCATTACTACAGATTATTGCAGGTTAATAGACGATGGTAAGACTATAGACCAGACTCAGTGCACTCTGCATACCATTACTACAGATTATAGCAGGTTAATAGACAATGGTAAAATCAAAATGTATTCCAAACAAAATCTACAGAATTTCCAGACCAAGTCACAACAAAAAACACGAAGGCACACCACACTGGGGAATGTGAATGGATACAGACATGGCTTGCTGCTTGTGTAGTCTGTATCATGCCACAACCTGCTGGACAAAAAGAAATGTAACAAATAACCCCAGGTCACAGAGTTGAAAGCCACATCAAATCACACCCACTGTCAGCTGTTAAAATTATTTTGGCCATTAATTGAAACTACTTTGTCAAAAAAAACTAGTCAAATATGCCTAACAGGCTGTGTTCTAACAGTTATAGGGTAAACTTACATACAGAATTGTCAATAGTTTACATGATCTGAAAATGAAGGGAAAAGGGAAAACCTAGAACATCAAGACACGGGACCTCAACAAGAAGTTCATTCTCTTAAAGCACCATATTCCTCAAACCACAGTCTATGCTTCATGAAATATGAAAAAAGGTTAGAAAAATCCAAGTCAATTCACTTTAACACGCATCAGAAATAAAACCATGTATAAATATAAAAAACAAAAACAAATGCTTCTTAAATAATTAACTACATATCAATTAGATAACAGTCACAAAATAATTAGAGCCAAAAAGTTACAACATTCTGAAGTCATCCAACTTTCCTCTGGCATAATCTAGTATAAGGATTAAAACCACATTTATGGTTGCTTATCTATAGTTGATCAATATTCTCTGGTAATAAAGTGACCAAAAAAGGTACTATACAATAGCAACAAGGCCTCATAAGAGAAAATGTCAAATACAGTGAGCAAAATAATTTAGTTTATTGATGACAAGGTTTCTGCATATTAGGGGCTTTGAAAAATGCTATTGCAAACTATTGCTTATCTATAGTTGATCAATATTCTCTGGTAATAAAGTGACCAAAAAAAGGTACTATACAATAGCAACAAGGCCTCATAAGAGAAAATGTCAAATACAGTGAGCAAAATAATTTAGTTTATTGATGACAAGGTTTCTGCATATTAGGGGCTTTGAAAAATAATGACTTTTAATGACTTTTCAGAGCCATAATTACAGACTTTTTAATGAAACAGACAGAATTACTTTATCACAATAAAGTTATTTTTCTGATTGGTTCACCACATTTACAGAAGTGTGCACATATGTCCATCAGTTTGAAGGGCTGAACATGTTAAGCTTTCTGCTGAAATAAACATGGCAGACAGTAGCAGTGTTTGTTAAATATCTTTGCATGAAGAGCTTCCTTCTTTAGCATATAAAAAATGGTTTGGTGGTTGTAATCCTCTCTCTCTCTTGCAAGCTGTGTACCATCAAACAACAATTTTAGCAGATTGATGCACCAGACCAAGTTCTCTCCATTTAGGCTTTACTGGCTTTGATAGAATATTTTTTCAAATTAGGAAGCAGTAACCAATAGTACTAAAATTTTATAAAATCCACTCACAAATTATTCAAGCACCTCACTAAGGTTCTAACAATCCTATAAAGACATAAGAAAAAGAAAAGGGAAGAATATGGGATTGATACACAATCATTCCACATTAGAAATTTAATAAACTTTCCAAAGAAAGAATGAACAGGTGCTGACTAAGAAACTTGTTAGTGCTGGAACATATGAGACCAATCTCTTCTCTGAGATAACCATTGATAATCAGTTAGAATCCTAAAATGTCATATTATCTTGTAAATAGGGATGTCTGCTTTCTCAGAATCATAAATGGAGAGGAAAAGGACAAAAAAAATTGTTCAAATCATAAGCTTTGGGTCCATAATAAAATTTGCATCAAATGTAGAAGTGTGTCTACAAGAGAAGAGATGTCAATCTCAATCACAGATTGCTTCTTATGAAAGTTTCAGTTGATAATAATAAAAACTAGAATACTGTAATTTAGAGAATATAAAGTAATGTTGAAAAAGGATAACATTTATTTTATACTTTAGAAAAATATTAGTGCCAAACAAAAGAGATTGTCTGTCTCTCCAGGACTTGATAGTGGTTTAGAAACATGGACTACAATTAAACCTGAATTAAAAAAAAAGACAAACTTATGAACAGTGCTCTTTGTCAAGCAACTGTTGAAATTTGACATACATTTAAGATATAAAAAAATAATTATACCATTTTTAATTACAAAACAATCTTACTTTGTCCCAACTTAACCGACAGACTTTGTATTTTTAAATAATATAGTGTATACCAACTGAAAATATTCTTGTGTACATATTTCATTCTTTTTTACTAAATCAAGTATAGATATATTATGAATGTGTGATATAGGATTTCAGCCAATCATAATGATATACTGTTGTTCTGTGAAGTGGTGCCTCCAATATATTATTATATAGTGAGTAGTTTCTGATATCTTGGGTGAAAAAACTGTCTAAAATAACTTAAAATTAATGTACAACAAGCTACAAAGATAAATTTCTGTTTAATAAAATATTAGGATTTATATAAAAATCACACTAGTGTTTCTTTAAATCAAAAGTCAAACCTTTTCCATCCAAGGTCAAAGCCCTTTAGAGATCAATTAATTAATTTAAAAAATAAAGAATGATACAAAAAGTATTTATCAGCACTCACATCGTCCTCCATATGTAGCAAGTACATTGTGAAGATCAAGAACACACTCTCCAAGCACTCCATTTCTGATCAAGGACCCATGATTGTATATTCTGAAGTGAAGCTTGGAATATGGACTAACCAGTCTAAAAACCAAGAAACAATGATCACATTTATCATATGTTAGTGTAAAATACAATATACAAAATAAAACTTTCTAGAAGTTAGAAATGCAAATTTTAATTATAAAATACACAAGCATATTAAGCTCAAGGACTAAATAAAGCTAAGTATCACATAGAGCAGAAAAATTATTTGTAGGAGAAAGATAAAAGCAGAACTGTTTATGAGTTGACAGTTTTTCTTTCTAATCAATATCATCTAAACATTAAAATATGACTGTTATTTAATATCTATCATAACTAAAAGTATTTTTACTTCATTAATAGTTTGGCATGAGCATGTGATACCTTGTATTCTTATGAATATCAGTTAAGCCACTTATAAGTTAGGTCCCGAGCCATTAGAGCACAAGATTTTACTTAAGAAAGGAATTTCAAGAAACAGGATTAAAAGATTACAGACTGACAACCCACTAAGAACAAATAAAGTCTATCCCTGATAAAAAAGAAAGTTCAGAATAAATGAGCAATGATCTAAGTCTATTCCACAGCAAACAAGAATACTAAAAACAAAAGAGCAATCTATCTCAACTACTTTCACTGCAAGTGTCTTCAACACTATGATGTTTTCATAGTTCAGCAAGTCTTATGTTCAGAACTTACAAGAATTGTCACTTGTCCAAAATAAACAAAAATGTAATTAAATTAAGTGTTAAAACTAATCTTGTCACTTCATCAATGAATACATACTAAATTGTCTAGATAATGTAACAAAAAAGCATAATTTAAAATATATTTTTTTTATCTCACATAAAAGCATTTTATTTCCTTTTCTGTTAGTTTGCCAATTATCTCCCAACATTTCAGAGGTTTGTCAGCAATACTACAATCAATTTAATCAAGTTTTTACTATTGTTAAATCAACATTACTGACTAAAAAAAATCACTGGTATTTTAAAAAATCACATTTTGGTGACAATTCACATTTATCTTTGCATATTAGAGGTATTGGGGAGTTTCATTCTTTAACAGTAACAGTGGGTTGAGTTCTTTAAACCTATTTGATGAGTTTTTCCATATTACAGAACTAGTATGTTACATTGTTACAATAATCTTAGTAGTTTTACAGAAGGTCCAGTCCCACTACACGTAAATTACGAAGAATGTATCTGAATTCAGTACAACTATTAGATACAAACAATCTAAAATGTAAGCATACATTGCAAACTGTTCTTCCCATTTTGGAGTAGTGGTGCTTTTCTGATACTCTGTCTTAACAGGAATACCACCATCCACAACAAGTTCCACGTAAGGATCAGGTTTAAATAAAATGCCAGATGAGTGAAGCTTGGCTGATACAACTAATAAAAAAAAAGACATTTATTGACCAAGACAATAAATGAGTATAGTATCTCCCAAAAAACAACTGCTGAAAGAAATTACTCACAAGTATAAATAATCTTGAAAAATGTTGATTTCAGCATAATGAAACAAAGTAAAAGTTCAATATAAAATGTTCATATTATAACCAGTTATCTTACTATCAAATTACTCTTACGTTTGATAAATGCCTTAATGATTGGACTCCACATGATCAGCTTTTGTCTTAGGAAAAATCACCTTATAGAGATAATACAGCCATAAATTTTCCTTTTTTTTTCTAAAGTATAATCTTTCAAGACTTATCACACAAGTTATTTTCTTTTCATCTTGACCAGAAGTCACATTCACCCTTTGCTACTTTTCACATGTAAATCTGCTCAAAGCTATATCATGCTGAAGCACCTAATACTAATAAAGCAGGTTATAAAATAGTTAGCAAAGCACATTTCCTCACTGTAGTTGTTACTTGGGGGTTTCTTGGTACAAAATAACTAAGGTCACGTGTGTTAAGTGTGGTGTATAAAATGTGTATCAAGCAGGCAGTAGCACTGTATGTAGGGATGGCTCAGATTGTTCATGGAAATGGTATTTTAAATATCTCCTCTATGGGTCATCAGAAATTTACAATAACACACATTGTTTCCTATTATAACAGTATTTATGTAATAACTGAGTCACAAGTTCTGAGAATCTATAAATGCCATATCGATCAGAGTAAAAAGTTTGAATTTCTTGTTCTTCTGTTTCTTTTTTATTACATAACTCAAAAACCAAAACAATGGTGTCAATGGAATATGTGCTTTAATAAGTATTATCAACTAGTTGTAATTAAAAAAGCAACCATAATTCTAGTGTAGATGATGTTATCATTACCCCTTGAAGTTAGCTTTCTTACAGAAATTTGTTGTTTCTTTAAAAAGCTTAAGTACAGGGTGAAACAGAAATTACCAGCCAATAATAGATAAACAGTAAATATTACAGTTGGAACCTCATTGAATTTAGAACTTGGTTATAAACACAACCTTCCTATGTCTATTGAAACACTGCATTAAAAAAAAAGCAAACAAGAAAAAAACCTTTCAAAGGAGGAAGTAAATATAGAAATGGCTAAAATCAATCCTTCAAAAACAATGCAAACAAGATAGTAGGGGTGGCATTTGCAATACATTTGCTATGAAAATACATTAATTGTTCATAGTCAATTAAAATTAGCACTATAAAACAGTAATAAACTTAATATAAACCAGAAACAACATAATAAATTTTAAACTCAAAATTATGCCTCTGTTATAATTCCTTGTTGTTGTCCTTAAGTCATACTATCTTGTTTGCATTGTTTTTGAAGGATTGATATTAGCCATCATTACATTTACTTCCTTTTTTGAAGTATTTTCCTTACTTGTAATAAATTAAATCAAGTAATGGAATAAAAGTAGTACAATGGTAAAACAATTGGAAAGAGTCAATGGTTAAAACGTTTTTTATTGAATTTCACTCAAAGCCACATGAGGGCTATCTGCAATAGCTGCCCTAATTTTCATATGCTGGACTACAGGGAAAGCAACTAGTCAACACTACCAATTCTTGGGGGTTCTCTTGTCACACCACAGAGTAGTATTTTACAATCACTATTACAATGTAGCCATGGCCCCAACTGGCAGAGCACAGTTGTTTTTTTTGTTTTTGTTTTTTGGTGGTTATGGGGCACATATACCAATGAACCTCAGATCTACAGTCTGGCACATAGTGCCACACTTAGCTCAAATAGTAAAAACTTAAATTATATAATAAAATTAAAAACAATGTAAAATTGTACAGTTTAAATATTAACAATAAAACTGTCAAAAGCAAAAGTCAAAGAATCTATAGAAATATGATTAAAACACTACCACTGTTAACCCTTTTGTTACTTGCTTGGTTGATTAGATGTTCATGACCCCAAAGTAACCATCAGAGGTTTTAAACTACAACTTCTAATATGTTTTGTGCATCTTCATGAAATTTGGCAAACTTTCAGTAAACATGTCTTTTGTACACAAATATTTAGATTTTTTTAACTTAAGTATTTTTATTAAAAATTTGTCTGACTATAAGGAGTCACAGTGTTGTCTGCTCTGAGTGCAGAGTGATTTTGCATGTTAGGATTAAAAATACTCTTATCTAAAAATCATGAATTTTCATTTGCATAATCTCAAACTTCCAAAATATATATCAAAAGTTTTTTCAGTAAAACTTTATATTTTATCTGTTTTCTTCTCTACCCTACATTAATATCCATTCAGTCAATTTGACCAACCTTGTAACCACCACAAAAAAATAGGAAATAAATCCAAATTACTCTTTCTTTCTAGAATGACTGTTTATTTTAACATGAAACTACAGTTAATAATCCTAAATAGCTTAAATCTCATAACAGTAAACATCTACTTATATTTAAATTTATTGTTTTATTTCCCTTTGGACAATGTCTAACTAATAATTCCACCACACAAGTTCTAAGACGCTCACCGATTGTGTAGCTCATGTTACCATATAAAATTACACACTGTATTTGCCAGTGTATAAGATCATAGTTATGCTGTATTGAGCTGCTTGTAACATTTGAAGAGCATAATAAAACCACACTTATACTACACTATATAATTCTTACTTAAATAATGCACCTGAAAATGTAGAATAGTAATATGCACAAAATAAACAATGCCTTATAAATATTATAATTTTTGTGGCTTTCTAACTATACAATAAGAGCCTTTATTAATTCAGCTAAGCTTGTTAATATGAATATCATAAGAAAACATTTCAAACTGTATGCAAAATAGACAATTCTGTGTAGAGAAAACAATATAATACACCATTGATAGATTAAAACTTTGGCTTTCTACTGGTTACAAGTAATATAAATTTGGAAATTTGTGAAAAAGGTGTGGCAAGTTCATCTGATTTTGTAGTTTTTGGCTCTGTAAACAAATAAGATTGAAGGCTATAAATATTATGCTTTGCCTGACTAATGTCTATATTATAATGAGTAATATGCATTAAATTCCTAACTTTATGGAGGGATGGTAAATAAATTAGAGAAGAGGGAAGATCTAAAGAGCAAATTCCACAATTCTCACACTAAGGGGAGATTGGGGATTTTAAAAAATATCCCTTACAAAATTAAGAAATTAAAATTTTATAAAATATTAAAATTTGATTTATCAACTATGTTTTCATATCAAGTTTATTCATATATAATGATAATAAAGTAGTTTAATTACATTTTGAATGTAAATCTATAAAAAGTCATGACAAGCAACAACTTGTTTTTATGAGCAATTAGAATTGATATCTATGTTGGCCATAAACTACAAGCACAACAGGAAGTACTTCAGTAAATCTGTTCTGAAGATCTGAATTTGAAAGGTTTTTGGCAACTAAGTAATTAGAGCCCCTCTTCATACAACTAGTATGAGTTTGCATCAACATCAAACAGTAAATAGGAAGGCACACACACTGGAATAATATATTTTAGATTGACCACATCATAATATTCTATACTAACATAAGCAATATACTTCTTTAAATGTGCATCTATATTTGCAATAAAGAATCAAGCTTTCAAAATACTTACACTGTGGTGGTTGCCATGTAATATATATGACATTCATGCATTAACTGAGTAAATGATTTTTTTTTTATACCTTTGATATTAATAATTTTTTTAAAAACATCGTTATCCTATATATGTATTTGAACGTATGATGCTCAATGTTATGAAACAAAATGTAATTATTTCAATTGGAATTATTATTCTAACTCAGTGTTACTTTATATATTAAATTCAAATATATGGCATTCTAGTCTTTTTTTGCTGTTTGGATCATTCCAAATAGCTTTTTTTTTTCCTTCCAAAGAGGCATTTCTTGACATAATAATAATGGTGACTTGTAAATACCTTACAAAGCCTTGAGAAAAAAAAATACAATCTTTTAAACGTAATACATTTTCATTGCACAGGCTCGCATCTCGAATATTTTAAGCACATGTAATTCACAATGTTTTGTATCTGCCAAAGCTACTACATTTAAACCTATACTTTTTTCATGCATATTAGAGGTATTAACATTTTTCTCATACTTTTATCCAACAATAATTAGAGTAACCAATTTTTTGTTACAGCCTTACCAACACAGATTTGACATTCTTTGTTTTACAGCAAAGACAAAATCAAACTTGCTAATAAAGGTATTTAGATAATTATATTTTGTTCCAATGATCTCTTACTTCTACAATATTGAGAAAGGAAACACAGTAAAACACCAGTACCTATTTTTATAACAAATGTCACAATTACCGATCACATTATAACTTAAATACATCTAACAAATATTCTGCATATCACAATCTTTTAACAGTAAAGATAACTTTCTTATACTGCTTTCTTATATTCACACAGTGAATAATTCCATCTTTTTACTTTTTTTTATATTCTAAAGGTATAACTCAAGATTACTGAATTTTAATTGTACAATTTCAATGTAATATTTAAAATAATTATACAGGTTACAGTGTTAACTTTTTTATAATAAATTCAAACATTTTCAATATGATGTGATTCAGCATTAAGTACAATATCTTGGTGATTTCATAACAATTGATTTCTAAATATAAGAAAGAAAAAATTAGATATGAGTAATAAATTTATTTTTTTTCTTTTCATGAACAGAGATTTTTTTTAAAGAATTCTGAAAACACCTGTGAAGCAATAAACTTACTTTTTACTTTCAGTTCAAACAGAAGACCTGATGGGGGTGATGCACCACTGCTCATTCTTCTACTGACCCAGTCTAGAAAAGAAGAATAAATGATATAACATTAGAAAACTGTATGTGCAATGTACACAAGACTATAATAAAATAAAATGCTTTCAATTAATATATACAATAATATGTTGAAGAAAAATTCAGTGTATTCTTCTTGGTTCTAACTCAAATTCTGTCAATAACAAAATGTTAAAAGGGTCTAATTTTTAACTTTATTTAGCATGTCTCACTTCTAGGTCAAGTTCTGTACATCCAGATTCTACCTCCAAGGAATATATTAAGTGTACACTGTTAACATGACAAGTTTTTTTTGTTATCTTCCTCATTGGTTTTTAGAAAATTTCCTGATTACAGTTTTGTAGTCTCTCAACAAAGATCAGAGATATAAAATTCTATCATTATAAAAACTATACACAGTGATATAGATATTTAATGTTTTCATCTAGTTATATTTCTTTACATGGCTTTTTGATAAAGGTTCTGTAAGAGCTGATTATTATCACAATAATCACTAAACTTTCTTCCTATAGAACAATATCTTTTAGGGAGACCCTGTCCACATAACTTGTTTGATTTACATCTCTTTTCAAGTTTGTTCCCCTATCACCAAAAACATATGCATTATTTACTCATGCTGATAGTAATAGCAAGTTGTTGATAATCCTGATGGAAAATACAATTTAAAAAAGGATGTCCATTACACTGCAGATAGTTTGATTAACAAAACTAATTGGAAAGTATTTGGAGCTTAAATTCAAACTCAGTAATTTTAATTATTTCAAGTTCTATCTCTGAAGGACCATTTAATATTCATTTTGGAAATGCAAAGGTATAAGCAAAATTCAAAAGGAAGGATACTAGACAAAAGCTAAAACCACAATTAATAATGCATTCAATATGCTGACAAGGGCTTTGCACAAGACATTTTGAAGTCATATATTGTGTACCCATAAAAAACTAATGTGTTAGACAATATCTAAAGGTAAAAATTGGAATTTTTTCATACATCTTATGTAACAAAGGTAGACTAGTTAATTTTTTGAGAATTTTCCCATGATGTCAAGTTTTTACTATTATAAAAATCAGATACAAAGCTAGGGTATATATTAAACTCTCTAAATATAGAAATTTATAGAGAAAGCTTATGAAATTCAAAGTTGTTAAACTGAGCAAAATTAGTAGTGGTATTATGGCATTAGTGTGTCATTAAGTACAGGTTTTAGGCTTAAGTGTTGAAGTTTTGTACAATACTCAGTCCTTGTGCATTTTGAGCTGAAGCAATGATATGAAACTGCTATAGGCTAACAATTTTCCAAATGAAGGAATCTGGTGGTCTTTTATATCCCACTTTCAAGAAATTTAAAATTTAATAAAAGGGCTATAATTGATGTGATTAATTCTCATCAATTAAAAAATGACTTAAAATTTTATATTGAATATGACTTACTTAAATAGTTTTGTATAAATTTCATGTTACATTGATATGTTGAGTGTTATACATATAAAAAGTATGAAATAAATCATTGATGACTTCATGGATTGAAATTAAATTTTTTGGCAACTGGCAAATACTGATGTTTTAAAAGTTATTCAGAAAAGTTCAAGCTACGATGGCTATGTAAAAAATGTAACTGAGTTGTACGGCCTTAGGTATATATATATATATATATTTTCCAGAAAGCATCACACTCTTAATTTCATTTTTATTTAATGTACTATAAAGATTTTACCTATTTTTGTGATATTTTATTACATTTGCTAACATGAAATTTAAAAAAGGTATGATATAAAAATCTGAAATATCACTAACTTTCTGTTTACTAGCTATTTTACACTTAGGAAATGTCACTAAAAAAACTATCAACATAGTATAGTTTCCCGCAGTGTTGAGCATGCAGTCAGCTTTTTTATTAATAATTTTGATTGTTGTTTACAACTAGTATTAACATTCATAATCATTCTGAAATCATTAACTGGCGAATCAAAGCCAGTGCCCTTTAATGGTCACTTGCTATACACTAAAACCCACCAACTTCTTGTCAGCCATATACCACCAGCTTGGTCACTAGCTATATACTAAAAACCACCGACTTTTTCTTGGGTAGATACCACCAGCTTGGTCATTGGATATACATTAAAGCCCACCTAATTTTTATCAGCTAGATACCACCAGCTTTGAGTTCTGATTACTTTTACCCTCTCTGAAACATTTTTTATAAACATGAAAAAAATTAATAATAGCTTGAATGTAATAAGATCACTGGACTTTAAATGCAGTATCCTGTTGAACTGGCCATTTCCTCTCACTCTCAAAATCACAATTTTTCATTCGTTCTTCTGAAAAACAAATAAAATTAATGTTCCTGTACATATGATTTATAACAGCACAATATTTTATTTTATTTTTTACCATACACAGGAATTTACCTGTCATTGTGGAACACAGAACTAATACCCAGATGTTAACTGTCACTTGCAATGTTATTCACCAGCCATGTCTTCTAATTAATGGATATTTTCTCAGTCTGGGTCAAAATCATAACCTAGAAATTATAAAAATAAAGAACTTGTTGAATCACTCTTTGTCAAATTCATGTTCTCCAAGCAAAATTAAAAATGCACATATCTGTTTACATTTCATCAATACAGATAATAGAGATCCAGTACTAACTGCTTTTGTGGTCAAGTTTATATAATAATACACACAGATAAAGCACAAAACAACACTAGAGAACTTTATGCTAATGTTACAATACATAAAAAATTATGTACTGTGTTAAGGATAATGCTTTGACTAATTGCATCATAGATACTGTAAGTTCTATTCTTTTTTTACATATTGTATTATTGAAAACTCCATTCTGACCATTACATGATTCCATCACTTACACAAGAACTGTCCTCAGTTCCCAACATAAAATACAATACAATCCAGCATATTTAAGCTGCCAAAACATAATGTGGTATCTCCAGGCTGGTAACACAAGTTAGAAATGGGAAATTAACTTGGTTAATTGATATAATTTTCGTTTCATTGATCAGTGTCATATTTGTTTAATCTAAATTACGATTAACTTAATCAATGTCATAAAAATAATCAACTAATCCATATTAGTTTTTGATTATTATTGTTTTCAATTAAGCCAGCTGTCCAACTATTCAAAATATTTCCATTATGATTTTTCATTATTACTTTCAATTAGTTTAAGTTTGTGCAGCTTAATCACTTAATTTCATAAATCACAAAAATAAACTATTACAAATTAGTGTTTCTGATTATTACTACTTTCAATTATTCTAATTACCCAAGTTTCATGTGAAAATAATCACCTGATGAATAAACAATTAGAAACTTCCACTAATTACTCAGCTCTAGCTACCATGCACACAGAGGTGGGCAAGTCAACGCAAGCTCAACTCAAACACTTGACTCTAGCTCAGCATAAAAATACTTAACCTGCTCAAACCAGTCATGAGCTGAGCCGAGAAATGGTTACAAAAACACCTTGCACAAGTGTGAGAGCATGTATATGCAACATTAAAGCAAAAAAAAAGTAAAAATAAGGTAAGTGCCTAAGGCAGCCTTAAAATTAAAAACATCTGAGTGATGTATAGGAAGGATGGTAAGTTTTTTTCAATACATTAGTTAAAATATTGGATTTTATATTTATGATTTTAGTTCAAATACAGAAAAAAGCCATGATATTCCAAAATGTTTGTGCTTTACTGAATAAGATATTGATTCTTTCCATTATGTTCAGTCTCTGTAGCTTCCGTTACTTGTGTAACTCTGTTTTGGTTTGGTTCATGTTTGAGCTCATACAGCCAAACCAATGGCCTAGCTTGTACTTGACCTTGAAGTTTTCAGGCTCACCCACCTGTACACAGAGCATACACTGCAAACTGTTGAACCAAGCATGGAGATACATGGTTTAATTAACTATCTACTCCATACAGATGGGCATCATGATTAGTGTACCACTAACTAGACACTAATATAGCCTCTTATTATACTAAAAAAAACCTGCCTTGACCAGGGCTCAAATACAGGTCCTCAACTCACACTAATGTTCTGCAATACTCTACCAAATGAACAGTAAGGCCTCAAGACCCAAGCAGATAATCCTCATCCTGGCATTTACAATGTAAAGAGCTAAATAAAAATAATGATAGTCATGATTATATTATAGATCCCATTTACAGAGTTATGGCTAACTTTCTAATAATGATTACATCATAGATGGATACTAATTAATATTACACAATTCCTAGTCATTACTGGATCACAGGTTAGTAGATACTAATTACAGTGTCAATGGACAACTTCTTGGCTGTAATTCTATCATATATATAAATAAATTAGTGTTATAAATTCCTGATTATGAGTATATTAAATCTACTGGTTCAAATTCTTTTTAATAATCTATTACAAATAATTTTAACACATATACACAGGTACTACTTTCACTGTAATGAACAACTTCCTGATCATATTTACATTATACACAGATATTTTCAATTTGAAGTTTTATGGATAATTTCCTGGTTGGGATTAAATTACAGACAGATACTAATTACTATTAATGCGACGTGTGACCTAGAACTAACAATGACATTCAGATAAATCACTATGTATCCAACGAACATAAACAAAGACTGATGTCAAAATATACAAAAGTCACTCATCCTGATAGTTATATGCAATAAATAACTCGTGTTAAGAATACAAAATAAAATTGATGAGCACAATAATGTGAAACTGCCCACACAAGGCACAGTAATCCGCTGTTGTCATATAAATCGGCCAAAGAAGAAAAAATGCTAGGTGTTATGTCACCCATTCAAAGTGCATTTTCTAATATAGAAGACAATGGTGAGACTGTAGACAATCAATTCTTTGCACTGTTGAAATGGATACGATCACAGTACCAAATCCGAATAATTACAATAACCTCTGGATCAATAAGCTCCATAATATACCTATAACTTCCACCTCATTATAAACCATGGAAAAAGGAATCATCTAGAATAGTACTATGGAAGACTTATCAGGCCTGATTTCACATTAGTATTCATATTAATAGATGTTAAGACAATTAGTTAAAGTGTCATACATCACAATTTGGTATATTCATCTGGGGTTGTGAAATTACTACTGTTGTAAGTTTCTCACTGAACAGGTTCTTTTGCATTATTCAGTAAAAGTAATGGTAAGTTCAGTCCATTTAATGATGATGAAAGTATTTTATTTCTTGAAATTCTATTAACTAACGATACACTTACTTCACAAATGAATAAAGTCTCAATAGAAATTCCACTAACATGCTACATTTTCTAGCATATATTACTGTTTCACTGAAATACTCAAATTCACAGCTCTAACTAGGCTTGCCAAATTTTTGAAATACAATTCTGAAAGATAAATGCCACACCCACCTGCCCTATCCTCTCTTTCACAAATTAACAATAGTTTTCTCTGATATTTTATACTGTATTACTTATAACCAATAGAAAGCCAAAGTTTTAGTCTATCAAATGATATATTATATTACATTGTTTTCTGTACAGAGAATTCTCTTTCACTTCCAGTTCCAAAACCATTTTCATAAAAATCACAATGACAAGCTTAGCTGAATTTATAAAAGCTCTTATCATATAGATAGAAAGCAAGAAAAATTATAATAGTTATAGGACATTGTTTGCTTTGTGTGTGATATTATGCTGTGTTTTTAGGTAGATTATTTAATTAAATAAAAGTTATTTAGTATAGTCGTACCACCACTATAAAAAAGTAGGCTTAAGTATCATGACAGTTGACAATTTCGCTCAGGTAAGTACTATATTTCTTGTTTTTCATGTGTATTCTTTACATATTATTATAAAAGTAACTAAAATGTAAAAAAACTTAGAAACTTCTTTAGTTAGAAAAAGTTAGATTAGGTAAGATAACAAAAAAATAATAATGATTCTTCACAAAGTATGCTCATGAGCAGCTTGTACATTACATAATTCAATAAAGTAACATGAACTGCACATTTGCCAAGTGGCACTAAAGTGTTTTTTTATTTGTAAACAGCCAAAATTTGAAAAAGTTTTGTTCTATTTTTTAAATAACTTTTCTTGAGAATCTGGGAAATTTGTCAAGCATTCTGGAAGACAGGAGAATATATGCAATTCCAGGAAGGTTGGCAAACTTAGCTCTAACTGACTGATCCAATAATTAGTCAACAACATCTCCCTTTACTCTCACTAAACATGAACTTTATACAACTGAAATCATTTCTTAATCTCTCAAAAAAATTTCAAATCTTACATTTTTCACATCAAAGTCCTGATGAACAATACAAAAATAGCCTATAATATTGTATGGGGAAAAAAAGACAGGATCAATGTGGAGTTAACCTCCAAACTAGTAGGAACAAAATCTGATGTTACTTAAATTTGTATGGTATATTTATTACATGTCAATATCAGATCTGAAATGTTTTTTTCATCCACTATTAGTCTTGGATCTTTCTTTTATTTAAATACATAAATCCTAACACTGTTTATCATTTTAGCATGATAGTCAAGGCCTAAGGTTTAAAACAGAAAAGAGCAATTAAAAATCAAATATAGTAATCAAAAATAGCAGCATGCACACTGACACTAACATTTACACCAATCAGTGAAGACAACTGACTGATTAAAACACATATGTGTTCAAACAAATGCACATATGAAGCTGTTTTTATAACAATATTAAAAACTATGGATAATTATTAGCATACTTTTGCAAACAATGTTCCTACAATACACTTACATGTAAATAATTTTAAAATAAAAATTTCCCATAATTCAACAAAAACAGATTTGGAAATATTTATGCAATGCAGTTGCTAAGTCATGCAATAACTAATGCTACCTACAGTACTGTAGAAAGCACATCAAATCCAATTTGAAACTGTTCAGAAGAACAAAAGCAATCATGAACAATTAGCTTAAGTGTCATAACATCACCTCTAAGTAAATCATTCTACGAACTGCTCACACTAAAGATGAAGAAGTTTGTCATACGAAATCAATGAATAACTTTTAAAATTCAAGTCACCATCATTTTCCATACAATTCCAGTAACTAAACAAGCATATTATACTTACAGCAGATAATACTGTTTAAAGTGATGATACCAGACATACCACTATTTCAAAAAGTTCTAACTAAGGTTTTTCTACAGAAAAAAACCAACAAAACACTCTTAAAATCAATTTAATTATGTTAATCATTCATTAAGGTTGAGAAATCAACCATTACTATGTTTGTCTTTTAGGGCTTCCAGACTCTCAAATATAGAATGTTGTTCACAGCAGAAGTAAAACTTGCCCTCAAATTACTGGCTTTTTCTATACCATTCACTCCTAATAAGATCTGCATATCACATCACAATGAGTAATTTTGTGTTTTTCCTGTTACAACACTCATTGAAAAAAATAATTAATTTACCAAAAGAAAAACTATGCAAAACACACTGGAGACCAAAGAAACAATAAACAGGATTGACTGCGATATTTATGGTGGTGGTGTTTACTTTCTGTGAGTGACTCGTATGTCACTAGGAATTCTTTAACCAACAGTTATGGATGTACACTCAATCTGGTGCACAAATAATTTTGCAAAATCAGCTTAAAAAGCCAATAGGGTTTATATGTTATTACATGAGTAATTCTAGGGTTAATAATTTGATACTACATTGTTACATCAGCAAAAATAATTTGAGGATAAGTTAAGACACTAGTTGAAACTATAGAAAACCATACAAAATTATATAAATGACGTTACTTTGATTTTTAAACAAGATTTCATAATCATACCAAGATCTAAAATATACATTTAAAACTTTTTTAATTATTCATTCTGATAATTTTCTCATATATAACAAGTTTAACAATTAAATTAAGGTTTTCGCCTTAACCTTTGAAATGTCCCTACCTCCCGTAAGTCTAAAAGAGGCCATGGTTTCATTTTATAAGTCAGTGGTTATTCTTCATTTAGAGTATTGTGTGCAGTTTGGTCCCCTATGTTAGAAATGACACTGATTAACTCCAGAGAGAGTTCAGAAGAACAACTAGGATATTTCCAGGAGGTATGGGATGTCATACGAGGATAGATTAAAATCTCTCAACTTGTTCTCTTGAAAGATTTGAGCTGACACATTAAAAACTATTGAAGGAATAGATAAGAATGATACAACCGATATTTTATATTGAATTCAGAGAGCCACAGGATAAGAAGCTATTAATTTAATATTTGGAGAGACCAGACATTTCCCATTGTGGAATTGTTATTTTTCCAATGGGGTAGCAAATCTACGTAACAAACAAGTGATTAAGGCTGCAAAGCAACTCTACAGAATTTTAAAAAGGTTGTTGAATAGTTAGAGGATCTTAACTGGATATACTGGTTAGTTTCTCTTTGTTAAGGGAAGATGAAAGTCAGGACATTCTTGATGAGCTAAAAGGCCTCTTGATATCCTATAACTTACAATCCAAAAAATATACTGACAACTTAGAGAATTATAGCATGCTGTTTATTGCACAAGAGATATTTGAATGGAAAAGTGTGAAACAATAACTTTTCAGAAAGTACATGATAAGTCAATTTGATATCTTAGTATTGTAAGGAAAAGTAAAATACAAGTTCTCTAGTTACATATATAACAAACATTTATATTAGTGCTATTATTAGACAATCTGCCCACACTATGAGATGGCCTGCATATTTACTTGTAGTGCTGACAAAACTGTCAAATTAATAGTCAATGTCAATAATACAGTATATAGCTATTACTCTCAAACCCAATACACATACAAACCTTCAAAATGCATTTCACTTGGCAACAAAATTAGAGTTGGTATAGGTATCTGATAATTGTTTATTATATACAAGGGATCTATGCTCATGCATCTATATTTAAACTTGTGACTGAATCAACATTAATTTACACATAATAATTGTAAGAATTATAAAAATACCCATCCTCTAATAATACACAGTACTCTAACTCTCAATTCCCATCTTGACAGCTTTTGCCCTAGACAAACAATGTCTGGATATAGTTCATATCACCACTTCACTGTGCAAGCTTGTACACATGATACATCCTCATTTCAACTGCTGGTTTTAAACTTTGGCTTAGTTTACATGGCTTAAGTCTAGGCTTGACAGGTTTTAAATTTCAGATCAAATGTTAGAACTTAAAGTCTAGGCCTAGATCCAATGTTCAATAATTTTATATTTTACACCAGTCATAACTGGAGTGCCATAGAAAAATAGTCTGCTGAAAGCCCAGATGTTATTTCATCTAGTACAAACAGTGACTCTGAAGATGATCCAGACATCAAGAACAAATTTTTTGAATGATTAATTAAATATTAAAAAACTACTGGGAACATTTTGATTAGAAATTTTACAGGGATATTTTCAAGTTAAATCTTTTTTCATAGTAAATTCATGATTACCAAATAAAAGCATACCAGAGTTTGTTTTATATAGTTACATATCACTGTAATTCAAATTATTAATTATCATCGATGCAAGTAACAGTACAACTGCATGAAATGGACAGCACTCTGAAAGAATAAGGAATACTGAAAATCCATAAGGTTTACTTTAGTTTGTTATAAATTTCATGCAAAGCTATATGATGCCTATCTGCAATGGCCATCCCTAATTTAGCAGTGAAAGACTAGAGAGAATGCAGCTAGTCATCACCACCAACCACTGGGCTTCTCTTTTACCAACAAATAGTGGGATTAACCTTCACATTATAATGTAATCATGGATGAAAGAGCGAGCATATTTGGTGGGACAGGAATTCGAACTCACGACTCACAGATTGAGAGATCAGTGCCCTAACCACCTAGCCATGTTGGGCTTAATCAATAAGGACTAATACTACTACTAAGGCATTGTACTAGTCTTTTGGGAAAGTGACCAAAAAAGGTTCATTTCTAATCCTGTAAAAGAACATTCTACTCTGACCTTATTTTTCTTCTACTATTTATATATATGTTTATTACACTTCTCTGACTTTACTTACTTTTATGTATGTCTTAAAAAACAAATACAGTCAAAAACAAACCTATCATGATTAAAGAATAATCAATGCTAGTTACCTACAGCTCACAAGTCATCTATTTTTAAAGTCTCATAGACTACAGATCTATGATTGATCACTGGTTGTTGATGAAAGACCAAAACAACTTTATTTTAAAAAAAAATTCCGTGCATACTTGCAAAAGAGGAGAAAAAAACGCATTATTCTTCAATTTCTTTGCAAGACTTTCTAAATAATCTACTTTAAATGAGTTTGTGAAAATGTTTCATAACGATACTAAAACTTACGAAGTTACTATACATAATAAAGTAAAAGACTTCCACAACTAGTTATTTCATTACTGACTCTACTTGATTAATGTTATAAATGAAATTACGTAAAATGCATGACTATTAACTTCTTACGTTATTTCTAATCCTAAACACGAGAGTGCATATTCTATAGTCATACTCATATCAAGTTATTTCGTCTAAACTAAAAGTTTCATAAAAAAAAAAATGTCACGCTTCTTTAACTTAAGCTTAACAGTGTGATATAAAGTTTCACTGTGCGTCGTAACCTAATTTTCAATACCAAGGCAATAGTGTACTTTTAAGTGCACTCTGTGTAGCGTAGCAAAGTCGTGTAGGTGTAAAGCAAGGAAATTAAACGTCGCTAATAGTAATACATGTAATATTAAACAAGTAAGTGCAATTTCAAAGTTGAATTTTCACTTACTCAAGTTACTGTATACTATAACCCATGCAAATAATTACTTATGTTGATTCTTAGAATTTAACTAATTTTAATTTAACATTTTAAGAAAATGATTAAGTTAATCTCTGAAGTTTCTTACCGATAACGCCTCTACTAGTATTACTAAGTGCTATGGAAACTTGTAAGTTGTAGTAACACTGTAAATCACTAAATGTAGTAGTATTAGTATTACTGGTAGTAGTACAACTAGTACTAGCTCTTAACTCAGTATTAAGACTTCAAAACCTTAACAGTTTGTTGCCTGTCTTCCTCTTCAGCTATCACTCTCTCAAATCCAAGTACTGTTAACCAAACCTCTACACCTAATTACATAATTTTCATGTATTATAATTATACTACGTAACTGAAGTACAAGTATCTTCCGTTTATCACCCCAATCTAAAAAAAGTAAACGCCTACACCTCGAGTTACGAGCCCTCTGCAAATATTATTTATAATAACAAGAACACACTATTTCAAATCGGGTATAATTTTTAAAAATATTTTCAAATTATATTTACTTAAACTAATAAAAAAAAACATATTTATAGGTCTAAAATTATAACAAATAATCTGGAAACTCTTTGAAATTATATAGGATATACTTTTTTTTTTGGCCAATTGTGAATTATATTTAAATTTATAGATATAATAGGTCCATCAGTGGGTCAGCAGTAAGTTTACGGACTTACAACACTAAAATTCGGAGCTCTATTCCCCATGGTGGTCAGAACCAGTGGATGATGTGACCCAGGATACATCCATCATGGAAAGCTTGATCTAATTGGAGGGTAAGCAACCAGATGCTTCCACTGAATGAAAATGTGATGCAACCACACTCGCCTCCAGTGAGTGGAAAGAGCTACCAGGATTGTCCATGGGGTACATGCTGCAGTAAGGTCTGTCTACAGGATATATGTCACAGCAAGACTCAACAATGGAGTATGTATCATTACAAAAGTCATGCCACTGCTAAGTCCACCCATTGGATAGATAGTGTGGCCAAAGTCAGTGCTTCCACCTGGACATCACTCAGATAATAAAAGTGAAGCATCTGCTTCAACTGTGGGACAATAGAGCACTGGTGAAGGAACTGCCCAAACTTTGCTACACAGTAAAGACAGCAGAGCTATCTGTTCCAGCTTATGACTTGGCAAATGTCAGTCAATGCATAACATCAGCACTTTGTTTAGCAGAGATATAAGTAAGGGTGTCAATATTGGCTATCAAATTAGCAGATCGCCCCCCCCCCCATTGGCACAGCGGTATGTCTGCGGACATACAAAGCTAGAAACCGGGTTTCGATACCCTTGGTGGGCAGAGCAGAGATGACCCTTTGTGTAGCTTTGTGCTTTACTAAAAAAAAAAAAACAAACAATTAACAGATCCAAGATGACCAGCAAAAAATGATGGCCACTGTAGTAAATTTTCTGGAAAATTGATGAAGCTCAAGTTTGGCTTAGGGAAGCAGAGAAGGCAGCTTACAAGAAAGACTTTAGTGGTCATCCCAGGTTTGTCAGAACTGTATATAGCTTGATATGTGCTGATCATGATACATGAGTAAGTGTCTGTGTTCTTAATGGACACAGGAGCAGTAAATACCCTAGTATACCTCACAATCTATTAAGGACTCCAGATGAGACCACCACTATGGCCACTGAATACGAACTCTGTTCTAGTCAATGGTGATAGGCTGGAAATTATATGATATGTCACCCATAGAATGAAAGTAGTCATTTCCTATCTTGGATCTGGAATTGGCATCCTTGGGATGGATACATTGTAGAGTTTGTCAGTTTTTGTCTGTTTAACTGGTGAACTGATGTTTCATGGAAAAAGTCATCTAATACTACCATTGTCGAGCTCAGGAACCGTGGACTGCATGAGAGTATGTACCAACGGGAATTATATCACCTCCATTTACCTCTGCTCTAATTGACTGGGTGGTCATCTTGATTTGAAGAGTCAAGTACGTCGTTTTACCAATGAGAGACCAATTCTTGATAGACAACACCATGTAATTAAGTGAGCCAAAGAGATAAGACAAGATAATTTAATTAAGATGAGAAGAAATCACGAGTGTTTACTTCGGTTCTAAGCTAAATACGTTGCATTATTGAAAGTTAAAAATCATTATACTAAATATTCATTGCATGAAAGAAAACTGTTGAAATTTGTTTTGTCTTTTCTTTTACCCTTCACATTCGCATGTGACTTTTAATCTTATTTCCCGAGACTTGATCGTGTCAAGTCGATAAAATACAAAACTTATTTGAATGTGTCGTATTTTACAAATCTAATAAAACGATACACAAAATGCTTGTCAGTTTCGTAATATAGATAACAATAAATAAATTTGAATTTTTTAGTTATACCTTTCTTAAAGAAAAAAATACAAAAAAGAATGTGTAACCTAAAAAAACACGACTAACCAAAGTCAGTCTTACTGGAAGAAATGTCATTTTCAGGTTTCAGCTTATGACACAGACTTCAGCCAACATTTCACACGTGTTAGTTTTAATTGATATTGTTGTTTCACACAAGGCTATGAAATGGGCTGAACTCTGCCCACCTCTGGTATCAAAACACGAATTTTAGTGTTATTAGCCCTTAGATTTATCGCCGAGTCACCGTGGGTGGTTATTAAGGACACAGTTGTGGTCTTCTCAGGTAAGAATTATTTTACCCATGAATGCCAACCTAGGTCCTGCAGAATAATAGTAGAAATTTACTGCAAAGTAATTCTGAATTTTGTGAACTTGACTTCATGAAGAGCCTAGACAAAATGTAAAATTAAAATAAAACAATTATTTATTCAATAGCACAAAAAATAAGTGTATTTGTTAGACGGAAGACATCATCTTTACTGCATAGCTCTCTTAAAGGCTGTGATTTTTAGCAAAATCTGACGAGTTTCTATTCCAGACTGGGAAAACAAAGCATTATGTATATGAAACAACAATGCAGTATTCACAAAAGTCGTTTGCGCTATCCACGTGACAGTTGGTCATTCCAACTGAAACATAAGAGAGGCAGTGGAAAAGGCGGCTGTCTACTTTCACACACAGTACGTAAAACTTTGCGAAAACCTTTTTCAAGGGAGGACAGATATAACACCTTAGAAAACTAACATAAAATCACGGGAAGCTGGAGCAAAAGGAACACAATGATTTTTTATGTTAAAACTACTGTTACGTCTCCGTTTGTTAATTGATTTTCCGTAACTTC